TAAAACGATATTTCGGAGGTGTTATTTCTTTTGCGCAAAAAATCTTTACAGAAAGTCGGTGTCATATCTCACATAGCTTTGTATCTATTTTCAAACCAGTTTGCTCGAAAAACAATCATTTTTGACGAAGCCTCCTTCAATATGACGAGCTCAGTCGATATTGCGATGAAATTTTGAGCACGTGCTTTTTACCCCCAAAAAACTGCTTGTCGGAATCGCTAATGCCGGACTAATTTAGCACATAGCTGCCATACAATGTGACTGATCATAGTCAAAATAAATATAATTTTATATCCTTTTATGGTATAAGAAATGCACTAGAGCTACGGTAGAGCCGAAGTTAATCTTTTTTCTTGTTTTATTATATTTTCTAAAAGAAAAAAAACGCACTAATTGTATTATGGGTTCTTAGAGTGCTGATAACATTAGACAAGTTTTCTTTTTTCACAATAAGCGATTTTTCATGATCGGCAATGTAAACAATGGACTTTGTCGAATTCTAGTTCCAGCAATTGCGAAATCCGCTTTCTTAGTGATATGTAATAAGCTCCAATTGGCTGGTATTCGATGCGATGTAAATAGAACGAAGTGGGGGATCCGGTTTTTAAATACACAAAACTTAATTTCTGCTCAAATCTTTAGATAATATATCCAAGAGGCAAACTTGAAATGTTTTGAAAGTTTTTGACCTCGGTCTTAGTAATGAGTTGAGCAGGTTTTGAAGCGCATACTTTTCAAGTACGTTTCCGTTTCCTCTCATTTTCCAACAGTGTTGCATAAAGTATTTGAAATTCACGTTGCTTCTTAAATTATCTTGCTTCAAATAGAAACGTTGTTTTAAAAATAAGTTTTATTAAATTTTATATGCATAAGGTATGTAGTAGGAAATGCGGTGTCTATGTCACCCAAAAAATTCAAAGTCGAAGTGTTTTACATATCCATAGAAAAATCTTAAGAGCGCGTGGTTTTTCGAGTTCCTAAATTAAAATTTCCCCAAAAATCTGTAAGCCTTCCAAAAGCTCTGCTACTGCCTAATCGGGCATATTTATTTTTGGCTTTGCGCTTTTTCTAAATATTTTGATTTATCTAAACCAATTTTAATTTCTCTTGATATTAAAAAATATTTTAAATCGGCATTATATAAATAAGAAAAGTCTGATTTACCTTTGTTCTTCTTGAACCACCCTGTATACCTATATGAACGCTTGTTATCATACAGACACATAAATATGCATGTTTTTGTATTGTCGGCAAATTAATGTGCTTGAAAAATAGCCAAATATGCAATCGGGTGATGTATGTTTGTGCGTGTGTTTTGCAAATAAAAGCTAGCAAATTACCAGCTTCTACACAACAACCATTTACAAATGCAAAGATGGACCGCAGCTGCCTCCCACCTAATGACAATAGCAGTGTTAAAATATTCATTACGCGGAGATTTGCAAAAAAGTAACAAAAAAAATTTGCAAAATGTCTGCGTTTCGCGAATCCAAAGATCGCCATTAGCATCCTTCGCACCATACACACTCGCATATATGCATATACATATACATATACACATACATATATGTACCATATATGTCACAGACCATCATTCATAAACCGATGTACTTCATTTAAGTGACACGATTACCTCTGTGTGTGTGTGTGTGTAATAAATATTCATAAACTTAGTTTTCAGACACCTAACTAGGTTAAGATTCCCAGCATACATACTTGTACACACATGCATACATGGATCTATTAGCGTATGAGTAGGTCTGTAATTTGTAATGCGCATTCAGCTCTTTGTTTAATTGATTGTTCGAATTATGAATATAAATTATTTAAGCCCATACTAAGATTAAGCCGGAGATGATGATTTGCTTGTCAAAATGTCGGTGGCGTTGTTATGGCGCATTTGCAAAAACCACCTGTTTCGCTTTGGTCAATTTGAACAGCGTGATTATGGAAAATTTTGGAATAATCGAAATTACATTTGTACCAAAAAGTGAAACTGGTTTTCTGAAATGTTGTGGGTTTCTATATTTTTTATATTTGAACCGTTATTCTTCGGCCTTCAATTTTTCGATTGAAGAGTTCTTAACAAACGGCATTTTAAAATTTATCGCTATTATTTACTACCAAAATTTACTGTTTTCTAAAAATGTATTTAATTATTATTATTGCGCCAAAGCTATAATAAACTTCACAAATAGAAAGGTTCCTTACAAGAACTTGATTCCGATTGGTCAGTGGGTATAGCAGCTATATGATATAGTCATCTGTTATGAACAATTTTTTCGGAGAATTCATTGTTACCTTAGACAATAACTCATGCCACATTTCGAGAAGATACCTGGTCAAATGATAAAGTGTCAGTGCAAGCACTTGATTCCGATTGCTCAGTTTGTATGGCAGCTATATGCTATGGTGGTCCGATTTCGGGCGTTTCAACAAATGAGCAGCTTCTTAGTGGGAAAAAGACAGGTGCAAAATTTCAGCTTAAAAATTGACGAATTAGTTTGAATATATCCATACAGACGGACATCGCACTCAGCCCATCATGCTGATCATTTATACATATATATATTTTATAGGGTCTAGACAAGGCAAAATGTGGTCAGCCTACTCCAAAACTCCAAAATGGCAACTCAAAGAAAGTTCGAAAAAGAGAAACGTTTCCAAGAAACGAAAAATGTGATCGAACACGGCAAATTTTGTTCATTAAGAAAACTATTCCCAAAATATAAGAGTGAAAGTGTTCTTCAAATAATACCTTTTCCCTTTCATATATTAGGTCTCCCATTTTATGTTTATATATTTATATATTAATTTAAAAAAATTTAAATAAAAGAAAAAAGGCTTTTTGAAAAATATTTTAAATTTGATTTTTCTAATTAGAAAAATTTCTTGAAGTAAATATTTTATGGAATTTTATGCTTAACAAGGTTCATTTGTTCATTTGGTTCAAAAGTTATGGTATTTTCAAAGAACAATTTTTTATTTATTTAATTATGGTATGTAGGAAACTTTGAAACTTCAACGGCACTTTTTAAAATTAAACTAAAAGTTTTTTTTAAAAAAAGGTTGTTTATTCCTAAATTAACTCTCTCTCTCTCTCGAATAATTAATCAAGGCTCCTGAACCATGACTACATTTCTTTCTATCTTTATTTGGGGTAGTTCAAATATAACAAAGAACACAGGATTCTACGAGAACTCAGTTTTTGATTTACATAAAATTACGTAGCATAACGTTAGCCTCAAGGTATACTCTCATTGAAAGCTTCAACCTTTGCTACAGTGAAGCTGTTCGACCACGATATTAGAGAATCTTTGAACTGAATCTGTCGACATCATTTTTTATGCTCCTATTGACTCATTCGCGTTTTAAGGGCGCGGCATCTTGGACAGGGCGGTTACGTAGAAAGAGTAACGGTAGAGCGGTTCGATTTTTTTCTAAATTTTATTGGTTATATGGGAGCTTTTTATTGTAATTAAAAGCAGTTAATCGGAAAATAAATTAACTGCATAATCGGTTGTATGCGAAATATGTGATATAGTTGTCCCATCTGACCGATTCCGACAAATGAAGAATAGAATCTCAAAATGCACCTATGTTCCGCAAGATCCGTAGAACATTTCCCGCATACCCGATTTTTTCATATTTTTGGCTTCCTGTAAATCAACTCGCTCTAATGTACGTATGTCCTTCATGAAAAAGAGCCACGAATTATATCAACCATATCTTAGGATATGCAGTGAAACTTTTCTAAAATCTACTTTAAAAATGCTTTTTTCTTGGGAGATAACAGTGTCAATTTATGTTACCTTATACAATTTTTTATCATACCGAAAAAATGTTTGAGAACTGCAATAAACCCTCACATTTACAAAAACCTTACCTTTTCGTTGAGATAGAGAGAATAAAAACGTTTTCAGGTATATATTACATTTTGTTTTACTTTCGCTTTTTTAAGCCATTCTCATTTTTTATATATATTTGCAAATGCCTTGAGACAATCTGTACAAAGGTGACAGTTGCACCTTAGTAGGCTTAATGGACTTAACCTAACTGAGCTCTAGCGAATTTATAAAAAACACAACTTTTTTTATTTTCATTTGGAGTTGAATATTTTTCATTTGCAATTAATATTTTTTATTTTGATTCACTTTTTGTATACCTAAGTGTACCGAGTAGGGCTTATATTGCACGAGTGCACTTTGCAACAACAAATGCGAACCCGTTCAAGTACCCTTTCAAGCATATTAAGCTATTGTATTGTATGTCTCGTGTAATTAAAATTACAAAAAGAATTACCTTTGCGCCTAAATATGTAATTTAACGAAAAAAAAAACAGAATTAAATAAGAAAAGTAAAAAGATAATTGTGAAAATACAAAGTTCAGCACATTCTGTAATGCAAAGACGAAAAGCAGGCGTTAATGTAAAGTAATTGCAGAATTAAAATTAATGGCATTTAGTCGGCAAATACATATTTTATGAGTATATATTCAAATAAATGTGAAAGAAAAAAAAACCTTTAAATCTTCTTAAAACCGAAGGGATTTCTTACAACTTTTTTGCATGCGAGCAAATTTGTGCTCGAATTTCATGCGCTCTTGAGTGCAATAAGACTGTTTGAGAGCGAGATGGGCAAAGATCTGCTTTTAATCATTACTACAGCATCTTTAAATCGCCATGCTCTTAGCTCAAACAACGCTCTCCTGAAGAATCTAAACGAAAATCAGTATTGCCACAAACTGATCGACAGGTTAGTAGACTGAGCGCCAATCACAGCTTACACTAGCGGAAGCTGAAGTTTGAGTTTATAAAGCTAGCTAGCGCTTATGTGTTTGTGCGCTCTGCAGAGCGAAGCACCGACCATCGCCGACTGGAAGCAGACGGGAAGTGCACACATACTCACCTGTATAGGTACAGCAACCATTGAGCATAGGTGGTGAGCGTGTATGAAAAGTGCGCTCAAAACTCGTCGCGATCGTTTCACTCAGAATATTGGAATTGGACGCGCAAAGAGACACAATGATGATTCGTTGCTAAGCTCAAGCAGAAGCTTAGTGTGCGCGCGCGCTCCATATAAAAGTAAAGTGACGACGCGATTTGGAACTTATTTCAGTGATTTTGGTAGGAACGTTGAAACGTTGAATGGCTCGACAGTAGCCAACGGTAATACACACACACACACAGATACACACCTACGGATAGAGTCACACACACACATACGTAAATGGTCACAAATTGTACTTGGTATATATGGGAACAAAAGCGAGCATTGAATAGTGTTAGAAACGGATTTTGAAGGCGAACAAAAAGGAAACGTAAACATTTCCGGTGGTGCGCCAATAATACAGACATAACTAAATATTTACTTAAGAATTTTGAAAAAAAAAGATTGCCGTAAAATATCCTTCAAAAATAGTATTTGGATTTTGTTGTGAAATAATTGAAAAGTGTAGCCAGCAAGGATTAGACTACGAAGTGTGTTTAAATGTTATTTTAACCAGTTTAACAATATCAATTTAAACAAGAAATCAGAAAAAAATTCGTTTGAAAACATTAAAGATATATAAAAACTTATTTATATACATAAATAAATATTAAAAAAAAAATTAAATTTACGAAAAGGATAATATATAATAAATAAATTCTTAAAGAAATGATCAGTGTGTTTAAAAAAAATAATAAAAATAAACTAAACAAAGCAAAATAAAAAACTGTTTCGAGTACCGTGGTAATCTTCAAGCGAATTTTCAAAATCAATTTACCAAATAAAATCTGCAAGTGCTGGATTACGGATTTCAGTGAGCTCATTCCTCAACGTTTCAACTGCAACATCAATTTTCATTGGATATTAGTTGTTGGCCATCGCGCATTTGGCAATAATTTGAATTTCGCCTTGAATCAGCTTGAGCGAAAATTTGCATAAATCAGCTTTTAGGAAAAGCACATAAAATATGGTAAGTTAAGTGCTGAGTTTTTTTGTTTTTAATTTAATTAAACAAATTAACTTAAAATTTAAAACAAAACATAAAAAATAAATAAAAATTATAATAATAAATATAAACAAATTAAAAAAAAAGTATTTTATTAAAAATAAAATATAAATGAGGGAACATAATTGAAGCAAAACCAAAAAACATATACGGAAATGTATAAAAAATATGAAACTAAATCAATTAAGAAACCAGCAAAATTAATTAAAATAAATTTAAAATTAACAATAAACAAAAACGGAATAAAAATATTAATATAAAATAATACATACAATTTATAATAATCGCAAAATGTATTAAAATAAAAAAAAAATGTAATGAATATATACCAATTATAAGCAATAAGAAATAAAATATTACATAAATGGAAAAGATAAATTGCATGTGAGAAAAATATAGAATTGCATAAAAATTAAAAGATAGAAATATATAAATTATTACAATTAATAATATTAGCACAATTACTTGATGTAAAAAATTATATGAAAATAATAAAAAATTAAAAAACAAAATATTATATAAATTATTTTATTATTTTATTATAACCAAGCAAAACATCAAAACTGATTTACAAGAAGGAAAAAGTAAAAAAGTATATGATAATAATGAAATAAAACAAAAAATGAGTAAAATTATGTAAGAAACATTTTCAAAAATCACTTTAACATATTTCAATAAAAAACCAAAAATAAAAATTAAAAGACTATTCAGCGCAGTGCGTTAAAAGGGTATAAACCGAACGCTTGCTAGTCGTTTAAAAAACATGTAATTCTTTAACTACTACTTTAAATTTTTTCCAATTATTATAAATTATTACTTTTTCTACTAAATTTTTTCTTTTCAATACTTTTTGTTGTTTTTTTTTTGATAAGTTTTTAAATTATTCTAGTTTTTATTATAGTTTTTTTGTGATTTTCTTTATTAAATCAATATTTTTTAACTTTAACTTAAACTTTTTTAATTTTTGTTTGATGCTGCTTTCTTTGTGAAATAATTGAATTTTAATTATCAACTATTTTAGTTAACTAATTTTGAAGTTATAATTTAAATTATATTTCTATTATTAAATTATTATCCCCCTCGCTTTTTTCTACCTGTTTCCAACAACAAATTAATAAAAAAAAATATTAAAAAAATAAACATAACATAACTTAAACATTAAATCTATTTATTTTGTGTTTAACGATCAAAAAATACGTTTTTGTTATATTTTATTATGTAATTATTAAAATTTTAGCATAATATATTTTGCATAGTTTTTCCAATGTGTGCATATCCACGAAACCCATTGTCCAATCGACCATTAAAAACAAAAAAAAATAAAATTCATTTTGACTTATTGCATACAACAACTTAAAAAAAAACAGAAAACAACAATAAAAGTGATACCACTTCACAAAATAAAATGAAATAAACATTGTCTGCAAAATTTTGCAAAACTAGCACTTTTCCCACTTCTTCGCTTACACCTCTCACCCTTTACGCAAGTCACTAGTCAAACAGAAAACAAAAATAAAAGGAAAACAACAAGCAAAACAAAAAAAAAAACATGAAAACGAGTGACCAAGCGTCCGTCCCTCACATGTAGGGCAACAGTGTTGAGTGTTACACGTGGAGGTCTCGCGGCAGCTATGAATTTGGGTCAGAAGATGATTTAGACTGAAAGTGAATTTCGTCTTATGCTACATACATGCTTACATATACATGTATATATCATTACATATATATGCACATATAAAATTAGCATTGTTAGTATTTTTGATTTTTATTTTATTTTTTCGTTGAACTTCTTGTTTGCACTGCGTTGCTTTTAATTGCATATAATTAACTCTGCAAACACACACATATCTACACACATACATCTGCACATCTGCACATATAAACTTACGAATTCTCTTATGTGCGTCCGTAGAATTGGGGCGTGGTGCGTTGTTGTCCGTGCGCATTGCAATTTCCTCTTTAAAACGCATACTAAGCGGCTGGTAAAATCGACAAAAGCAAAAAACAAAAGTGTAAAACAAAAAAAATCGAAACTGGGAAAACATGAAATAAAAATTCATGGTCAGATTACAAAATCGAAATAACAAGATGAAGAAGAACCAACAACAACAACAACCACATTCAAAAGCAAAAGCAACTGTAGCTATTGCTATGTGTTCAACTTGCTCTTCGATTACTTAGCAACCGTGTGGTAGTTGCGCGCTGATTATTGGCCATTTGCTATTGCTGTTGTTGCTATATTGATGACTTTGAGCTCATCTGCTGGCTGGCTGGCTGCGGCCTCATCTCTATTCACCACTGTCTTGCATTTACAACCTTTTCATCATCAATATTAATGCCCGCTCTTTTCGAGTCAATTTTTGCTTGTTTTTTGTTTTGTGTGTATGTATGTATGTGCGCTTGTTGCTTTACGGGCTTTTGATTTTGACTACTTCATCGATTTTATATTGAAAAAATTTAAAAAAAAACACATCTTGCAAAATATTGAGATTGAAAATGAAATGAACTGTCAATCGGCTGATGATTGCTGTGTAGATCTGTATTGAAGATCTCACAAGATCTCAGAGAGCTTTTGTAAAAACAATAACAGTAAAAATATGTGTACAAAAAGTTGCTACAAAAAAGTTTTATTCACAAAAAATTACACAAATTTAAAAAATGAATTTATTTAAATAGTAAAAAAAAATGTTTAATAATTAAAAAAAAAGTTAAAAATTTAAGAAAAGAATTTAAAAAAAAAATAACAAAGAAAAAATTTTTTAAAAAATTAAAAAATAGTAAATATTAATGTAAACTAAAAAAAAAATAAATGTTTTTTTATTTACGTTCCAACCATTTCATGTCTTTTAAATTATTTTTGTTAAAAATTGATCCAAAGTTGTTTATGTTTGTATATACATATATTTATCCGCTCAAAACTCTAAATGCTTAATTTATAGCGTTTTAATTTATGTTTCCATTATTTTTATTATTCTTCTTTTATTTATATTTATTACAAATTATATTCGAAATCCATTAGTCACACTCAAATTTGTGCAGCAAAAATTACTGATTGAGGTAAGGTGTCAATTTAGTCATTACCAAATAGCTGTAGACACAGCACAATTATATGCAATTGTATTTATAAGCATATATCTATCAGTGTACAAGTATATTAGTTAATCATAACGTATAAATTTTAAGTGCAAATTATTATTTGTTTTGGGTTTATTGCTGCCTTAAAAACTGAATTGTATCATATATTAGTAAATTTGAGTTTTTTTATTGTTAAGTTTTAATAATTTGACATGTATTTTTTAACACTCGTATGTGTTGACCCATATTTTTTTATTGTGCTGCCAGAGTTTTGTGTAATAACAAAATTTTTATGTATGTATATAATAATGTTAGTAAAGCGAAGTATAGCGTAATTTTTTTAAACTATTAAAAAAATCATAAACGCTTTTAAATATCAGTTATTCCATGCTGTCAACTTTCCAATATTACTTAACTATTAACGCTATATATTTATATAATTTTATAATACACAAATACCTTTCTTCAGTTCTTAACCGAAAGTAAAACTCAAGTAAGAAAATATATTTATTGTGGCTGAAATACATCAAATGTGCATTGACCATGACCTCTTTACACAAACCAGACACCTTGACCTTTCACTCCATTTTTTGATGCCTGAAATGACTTCCATGTAAAAGTGGGCTGTTAGAATTAGCATTTTAGATATATTTGGACCTAAATTGGCCAAATTAAATTTTAATTATATAACTCAATCGGGGTTTTGCTTGGTGCGCATAAAAACGTATTTTAATCGTGAAATATAACTTGTGGTAAAACTGAAACACAAAAACAGGTTTTAAGATATAGTAAAATATGAAAGATTATTTAGAAAATATAAAATATTATATGTGTTGAGTATTTTTTTTTTTTAATGAAAGCATTCTAAATCTGAAAACTATAAACTTTCGATCGAAAATTGCTGAATAAACGACGTATCTAAGTACAATCAAACACATAAAGACATATCCAAAATATGTGGCGAACATTTGCTAATGTGACGTCAGCAAAGCAGCTGATATTGTCAAATTGGCTGAGTGTTAACATAACCTCGAATATGAGTTTTCTTAGCGCAGAACTGCTAAAACAATATCTAATATAACCTATAAAAGTGACATAACCTAACAAATAGAGAACATAATAAAGTAAAGTGTTTTAAGCTGCTTCTCCCTCAAGTTTACAAAATTATACAAAGTATAGAATATTTTCACTTAACAGTAGTAGCTTTGTAACAATATGTATGCATAGTAAAACATAGTACAACACAACATAGCATATCATAACATAGTATACAAGTACATAACAAAGCAGATTTTACATATCAATATACAAAATAACAAGCACAATCAAAACATAACATAACACAACATAGCATAATTTTTTATATATTTGAGCAGTTCAAATTGTTATTATACTTTATGCTGGTATATTGGTTTTTCACTTTTTCTATGACAAAAATTTCAAAGAACTTTACATAGCATTGCATAGAAATAGAGATAAACCTGAACGAACTAATTTAATTTAATTTGTAAATAATATATATATAATAGCGAAAATGATAAATAATATTCAGAAATAAACTTATTTCTTAAAAAATATCTTTAGGAATTTTTTCCAGATTTCAATGATTATAATTTCCATTTCCTTGTTATCATATCGCGAAAAGATCTATTTATTACGTTTCATGCTTAAATGGTTCCGAGAAAAAAAACCCAATGCAACAATTGCATGTAGAAAAAAATATCTATATTATAAAATAATAACAATAAAATAACAGTGTAAATAGAATATGACCAAGACGCACTCGCTGTGTACGCCGCGCGCGTCGTCAACAAGCCACAACAGCGACAGCGCACAGGCGGCATTCAAACGCGCGCTAATTAGCCGCCCAGTTGGTGAGCGCTGCCGCT